ACAGATTAATGAACACGATGCCCACACATACATATGAAAAGAAAAATAGAAAAATCCAGGATGGCTTCCAATTCATATTATCAGTGGACACATTGCTGTCTATGCTGGGTGGGAGATACCCATAGCAGGGTATGGAGGATCAGAATCTACCTTTCCAAATTTATCTTTGTGCTCCTAAGCAACTGTGTGCTCTCAGACAGTGTGCACCACTTCTAGTAACACCCAGTCCTTGCATCGTGAAGCCACAGTAGGCAGAGTCATCTCACAGATATCGTGTGCCTTTCTCAAATTCTGCTCATCCTGGTTCTGGTTGGGCCCCATCTTCTTGTAACCCTGAGGAAAGTTGTCACTGGCACACATAAGCTAATATACATGATCTAATAATAAACAAAAATGTGCAATTTGCCAGATTGTTTCTCTAGAAATGAGTCTGGAATATTCTACTGTAAATGTCAAGATTATCCTACTATATGTTACAATTTATGTGAAAAATGCACCAGCATTGGCCCAGCACATCTTACAGGCAGGATATATTATAGGTTGGAGGTTTCCCCATTACTAGGAATCTTCAGTAGGCCACTTTTGTAGATTCCAGTTGAGTTTCTACTACTGCACTCCTTAATAGTCTTGCTTGCATAAGACATAGTTTGTGCAATATTTTTAGATTCTAATTTGTCTATCTTCTTTATACTGATCCTCTGGATCTTCCTTCTCAGAAGCCAATCAAGGGAGAATTACTTGCTGGTACAGATCAAAGGAATATGCAGGAAGCAACAGTGGAAAAATGGAAGAACCAGAGCTAAAGAATGGGTAAGAATGACCAAAAACCACTTTTGCACCTGACTACATCCCTCTCTGGCCATCTACCAAATCTCTCATCGAACTGAAACCATGAACACTTCCACATGGCTGACAGAGGGGTCCATATTAAGCCCTTCCCTAAATGTCTATTGGGAGACTGTAGTAGACAGTGGAGGGGCATCACATTATGAGAGTTGGAGTCTTTCGAGAGTTAACCAGTAACCTCCCACCCCAGTGAAGGTAGGTAACTCTAGTCAAAGTCAGTTATCATGAAAGGATGCTTTCATTTCTGCAACTTCTTTCTGCATCATCTCTATAGAAACTCTTAATTGAGGCAGGATCATGAACAGCATTACAGGGCCATACTTCTCTCCTTTCTCTAAGAGTTTACCTGAAGCTGCACCTCACTCATTCACCCCTTTTACAACTGATGAGCAATTCTTCCGCCTGTTTAATAAGTATGCTAATACTTTTACTCTATAACTACCTTGACATCCTTTTTCACAAGAAACAGGATGAAACTAGAGCTGCTGACCCACTGTGGCTGCCATTCAGGGCTCCTGTTACATGTGGTTAGTGAGCAGCACTCAAATTACAGTCAGCACTTATCCTGTGTTTCCCACTGATTCATCCTACAGTCCCCTTTCGGGAAAATCCATGTTACACACCATTAGTCATGAACTAAACTTTCAACAAAGGGGTACTAAGATTCCATCTGTCTACTCACTGCCCACACTAACTATACTCAAAAATACCAAATCCTGCAGGACCAAGACATACAGTATTTGGGGATATTCAACTTACTGTACTCACCTTCCAAGTCAGTGTGCAGCTTCTTCCAAAACCAAAGAAGCACAAACTTCATGTAAAATTCAACTATATCACACATATTCTTCTGTATGAAATGACTAATAATGGTACATTCTTGCAATAACAAATAATTACTCACTGACAAAAATGCACATAAACAACTACAGAAAACAAAAAAGACATGTATGACGTGAACATTGAGAAATAGCTAGTAGATTCTCACTAAAACAGTTAGGCATTGGTGGTGTACTGCTTTAATCCCAGCACTCAGGAGATAGTGACAGGAGAATTTCTGTGATTTTGAGGCCAGCTTGGTGTACTGAGTTCCAGCACAGCCTCCAAAGCTACAGAGAAATCCTGTTTCGAAATAGATAAATAAATAAAAATAAAGGAAGAAAGAAATAAGAAAGGGGGGAAGGAAGGGAACAACGAAGGAAGGAAACACAATTAGTAAGAGCTTCATTGATAATTGTAAACAATTTGCCTCAACAATGGGCCATTTATTCAAAATGAACAAAGTGAAAAAGATATGAAAATGAGGAAGCTAACCTTTAGAAGATCAAATCAGGATTCAAAATCTATTGCAATTACTGCAAAGGAAACTATTGAAAAATGTGAAGACAGACAACAGGAGTAACAATGGCACAAAAACATAGACAAATTTTATTACTGTGTAGAGATAGTGAGCAAGTTTTAATCAAAGTCCTGTTGGAGGTATATTAGGAAATGGAAAACAAAGAAAGAAAAAGAATCTAAAGGAACTACAGAAACAATCAAAAACTAGATTAGGAAACAAAATTAAGGTGGAAATATTCCTAATTATACAGTATCCTAAAATAAAAAGTAATGAATTCTTTGAAGTTTCATGAAGACATAGGACTAATGCACAGTAAAATTAATAATTTTATTTTATAATTGCATTTTCTCTTAGTAGCATTTTTCACATAAGTTGTAACATATAATAGGATAATCTTGACATTTACAATAGAATATTCCAGACTCATTTCTAAAGAAACAATCTGGCAAATCCAAATTGCACATTTTTTGTTTTTAAAACAAAATTTTTTATTTATTAGATCATGTATATTAGCTTATGTGTGCCAGTGCTTTGTAGCATGTATGTGGCTGGATACTGGCTGACATCAGAAAGAATCTGGTCAGAAAGTCAGAAGTCTTTAAAAAAAAGGACTTGAAATTCAATTCATTCCTTGGGGCTTGTAGTGTAGGGTTCACAAGGGATAGCATGACACAAGGTTACCACAATAGTCTGTAGTACATGTTCACGGGTTGCATTGTTCTGAAAGTCATTGGAGTTCAGCTGAATCATAAGATATTAGCATGAGTTCAGATGATTCAGAAAGACAACTCAGTTTGGATGATATCTGTCACTGACAATTTAGTAGCTGTATTTTCATTTGTATTTTGCAGACCTTTCACTTTTACTTGAATGCATGGGAGAAAGTAGCCTTCTATCTGAGACTTCCAACTCCCTATATTCTATGTCAGGACCCTTTATAACTTAAAAGTATTACTATGAATGTAACACTGCAGTATTGAGTAAAAAAAAAAAAATCTTCCTTATTTTTGAAGGCTCAAATAAAAACTTTTCTCTAATACAGTGGCTCGAACTTTCCTCATGCTGTAAGCCTTTAACACAGTTTCATGCATTCCTTTGTGGGTGTATCTGCATTTGGGCAGACCTACCTACAGACAATAGATGCATGGTATCTCAGTTCCTAAGAGCATTGAAAATATATTTTCCTATATCTTAGACAATTCATATGAAAGAGTCTTTTAATCCCAAAGGAAACATGGCCCACAGGTTGAGAACTGCTAGTCTGTTGTCAATTTCTTGTTTACAAGTTTGAAGGAACAATTAGAGGGTTCAGAAAATGTTTAAGGGACACATATGTATCTACTCACCCTATCTGGAAAAATTAAATAGAATAAAGTTCAACTTTTTGAATCATTGTGCTTCACTGGGATAGCTTACAGAAATATGAGGAAGCAGTTACTGGAGCATAGTGGACTCAAACCCAGCTGCTATTATGAAACTCGAAACCAACATGTGATACAGCTTATGAATACTGCATACTTGGAGCACACAGCACACTTGTAGGTATATCTAAAGAGCATTCTATCTTGGCTAAAATTCTCTTCTAAGGTGCATGAGTTGTCAGTTTCTTCATTTGAGTCAAGAACACTGAATCCTGGTAGTTTCAGGGAGTGTTTGAAGCTCTTTTGAGTGGTGCCTTAAGGAACTTCCCTTCAGAAAGAATCATTCCAGTCTCCAGGAAACTGTTACATAGCAGTGTATACTTCTTGTTTCTGCATTTTGTCTTCATTTGAGGTTGAACACATACAAAGTCAATGAAAATTGTCCTAGATTTTCAGTTTCCCTCTGCATTAGCTCTTGATATTTTCTAAGATTTGAAAGTATCATATAGGCTTTCACAAGTTTGTCATGTTCATAATGAGTGTCTAGTGTGGAGTCTCAAGTGTAGCTAAGAAAAGATTGGTTTAAGCGCATGCCAAATGTTTTCCCATTGAAACTTTTCTGCCAGTATGAATTTTCTGATGTTTTCTTAGACCTGAGAGACTGGTAAACACGTTTCCATGTACATTACATTTTTAAGTTTTTTTTCTCGCATATGAATACTTTGATGTGCTCTCATGGTGATTTTGTAGACAAAAGGTATTTCATATTGACTACTATGGTGGTTTAAACAGCTATGGCCCCCATGGACTAATGTTTGAATGCTTGGCTCATAAGAAGTGGCAATATTAGGAGGTATGGCCTTGTTTGAATAGCAGTGGCTTGTGTTGGAAGAAATATGTCACCGGCTATGAGGTCTCACATATGCTCCAGCCATACCTACTACAAAGTTCAGTTCCTGCTGCCTGAGGATGAAGATGTACACATCTCACTTTTTCTCTAGCACCATGCCTGCCTACATGTCACTATGTTTCCCATCACTAGGATAATGGACTAACTCTGAGACTGTAAGCAAGCTCCAATTAAATGCCTTCCTTTAAAAGGATTGCCATGATCATGGTGTCTCTTCAGAGAAATAAAACTTGAACTAAGATAACCACACTTGTAAGGGTTTTCTCCTGAATGAATTCCTTAATATGTTCTAAGAAAGGAGCACATAGTGAAGGATTTCTCAGTCATTAAAGTTTCTCTTTAGTATGTGTTCATGTTCTTCTGTCTGCTTAGAAGTTGCACCGCTGTGAGCCCATGGCCCTGTATTAAATACAGTTGCTTGGGGGGAAGCTTGGTGGAATTTCTGGTTCTGTTGTCACTGGCAGTGCCACAGCCACCATATGTAGTTTTAAACTATTTGTCTATTGTTCTATTTACCAATAAAGACTTAGTAGTCAGGTGTTAGGGTGAAAACCTGCTAGATCAGAGAGGCCAAGAAGCAACCAAATGACCTTCCCTTTATGCCAGAGACCCAGCAAGAATGTCTTTCTAACCCATCTCAAACCAGAAGACTGCAAAACTCCAAGTCACTTCCTACTACTTCCTGTGAATCTAGCAATCTTCCATACCCCTTCATACTCTCTAGGGCTAATTCCTGTCAATTAAGTTTGGGTTCTGCTCCCTGATCAATGTTGATATTATTAAAACTCAGGTTTCATAGTGTGATCAAATATCCCAGAACATATTCTAAGAGTTGAACCTACAGAAAAGAATTTTTCACATTTACTACATTTCTAAAGTTTCTCTAGTGTATGTAATCTCTGATGAGTTCTAAGATTGCCTTTTGTGGTAAAGGATTTGTCACATTCACTACATTTATAAGATTTTTCTCCTGTATGGATTCTCTGATGTATCCTAAGAGATGAATCCCAGGTAAAGGATTTGTCGCATTCACTACATTTGTAAGGTTTCTCGCCTGTGTGAATTCTTTGATGAGTTCTAAGATTGTCTTTTGTGTTAAAGGATTTGTCACATTCACTACATTTGTAAGGTTTCTCGCCTGTGTGGATTCTCTGATGAGTTCGAAGATTGCCTCTCCCTGTAAAAGATTTTTCACATTTGCTACATTTATACGGTTTCTCTCCTGTATGTATTCTCTGATGAGTTCTAAAGGTCACTTTCTTGGTAAAGCATTTGTCACATTCACTACATTTGTAAGGTTTCTCTCCTGTATGGATTCTCTGATGATTTCTAAATGTCCCTTTCTCAGTAAAGGACTTGTCACACTGACTACATTTGTAAGGTTTCTCTCCTGTATGGATTCTCTGATGATTTCTAAATGTCCCTTTCTCAGTAAAGGATTTGTCACATTGACTACATTTGTAAGGTTTCTCACCCGTATGGATTCTCTGATGAGTTCTAAGATTTGAACTACTTTTAAAGGATTTGTCACATTCACTACATTTATAAGGCTTCTCACCTGTATGTCTTTTCAGATGAGTTCTAAGATTTGAGGCACTTGTAAAGCATTTGTCACACTGACTACATTTATAAGGTTTCTCTCCTGTGTGGATTCTCTGATGAGTTCTAAGATGGTCTTTTGTTATAAAGCATTTTCCACATTCACTACATTTGAAAGGTTTCTCACCTGTATGGATTCTCTGATGACTTTGAAGATGGTCTTTTGTGGTAAAGGCTTTGTCACATGTGCTACATTTGTAAGGTTTCTCTCCTGTGTGGATTCTCTGATGATTTCGAAGATGGTCTCTTGTGGTAAAGGATTTATCACATTCACTACATTTGTAAGTCTCTCCTGTGTGGATTCTCTGATGTATTCTAAGATATGAGGCACTAAGAAAGGATTTATCACATTCACTACATTTGTAAGGTTTCTTTCCACTGTGGATGCTGAAATGTCTTTCAAAGTCTGATGTGTTATAAAAGCATTTACCACATTCTGTACATTTGTAGGGATTTTCTCTACAATAGATTTTGTAATGTACTTTGAGTTGTGAAAAATGGAGAAAGGAATTACTGCATTTTGTACATTTATAGGACTTGTCTCTACGATGGGCTCTCTGATGCCCAATGAGGCTTGAATGACTCTTGAAGAATTTTCCACATTTCCAGCATTGGTGTGGTTTCTTCCCGCATTCAGTTTGTTTCAGTGTGATTTCTGTATTAGACTGAAAAGATTTATCATACTCTACATTTTTGTGGTCTTCCTTTCCTGTGTGAGTTTTTTTTATTTTGGCTAATGATGGTAATCAAATTTAAAAAGTTTACTTGGTCTGTACATTTGCAAAGTTCTTCTCCAGCCTTCCCACTTTTGTGTCTGTTGAGGTTTAAGTTTTCAACACAGGCATTTCTGTGGATACCAAATCTGTACTTGTTGTAATTTTCTGCAGTATCACTTGTGTCATAAGGTGTACAATGGCAGGATTCATGAGTCACTTTGAAAATCTCATTACATTTATAAGTCTTCTCTTGGATATTTTCATGATCATGGATAAAATGCTTTGTGCCTTGATGCAAGAACTTCTCACATTTACCATATATGCGATAGTTCTCTGAAAAAATATAGTACAATTATGATAATAGCAATTAATGCATGAGTAACAGGTTCAAACCTGGTGTTTTCTTATGTTTTCTATGATATATAAACTAGTAACTTTAAAGAACAGAGCTCTTAATAGAGGACTTTTCTATTTTAAATCATTATATGGATGCTCCTAAGAATCTCCAGACCAATCTATATCAAAGCACAGGGCCCAATTAATAGCCTGCTCCTTTTTTTTTTTTTTTTCTTTTATTAATTTTTTTTCCATTTATTTAACATCCTGACTGCAGTTTCCCTTCCCTCCTCTCTTTCTGTTTCTTGGCCTGGCCTCCCTCTGTCTCCCCATCAACTCCTCATCTGTTTCTGTTCTGAAAGGGGCAGGTTGATGGGAGATGTCATTCAGTAAATATGTTTCCTGTATTGATTAATGAATAAAGCACTGTTGGCCAATAGGACAGCAAGATAGGCGGGACTAGGAGACAAGGAGGATTCAAGGAAGTAGTAGGGGGGGAGTCAACATGGAGAGACTGGAGAGAACAGAGGTCTGGGCCCTCTCTCTGGTAAGATGAGACCAGGTAGAAATACTTAGATTGATAGAAATGGGTTAATATTTAAGACAGAGCTAGCCAATAAGAAACATTAGTAACTGGCCAACAGCTTAATATCTAATACAGTGTCTGTGTGTGTTATTTGGGGCTGGTGTGGCTTTGGGACCAGGTTGGTAGAAAAACTGCTCTTAACAGCTGGCCTCCCGTGGGTGTCAACAAAACACCGTATATTAAGCTGAGGTAGGACTAAGTCCCTCCCTTTGTATTAAGGCTGGGCAACAGAACCCACTATGAGCAATAGTTTCTCACTAGCAAGAAAAAGAGTTAAGCAATTCCCTGATCTGTTAGGAGTCTCCAAAATAGACCCAACTAAACAACTGTCACACATATGTAGAGGACCTAGGTCACCTTCATACATAACCTTCTCATTCTTATCTAAACACTGTACCTTGCAGCTTGTAAGACAAGTGGGTGTTTGAGCAGTAAGAACTTAGAGAAATAAGATCTGTGAATGATCATATGAAGAATGTTTCTCTACTTGTTATGTTTTTGAGAAAGAGTCACACAGTACAGCTTTGGTCAGTTAGGAATTAAAAACCCAGGTCAGCAGGAAACACACCATGCCCTCCTTCTTCAGCTTCTAAAGGGCAAATATTAAAATCATGTTGTGCCAGTACTAAACATAGCAACCACATCTCAAAAATAAACAAAAACAACATTCTCACAAACAGCATCTTTCTCTAAAACCTTTTACATGGTTTATAATCGCAAATAGGTGAAGATTTTAAACCAGTAGCAAAATTAAAATATTTTAATTGTTTTGAGTACTGTAATATATTACCTTGCTCTGACTATTCAGTAATCTTTAGCCTTTGAGATTTTCTTTGTATATTACATAGGAGGGCTCGATAGGTCACAGAGAATATACCATTTAATACTCTTCTAGAGAACACAGAAAATGTAAATGAAGCACCATTAAAAAGTTATATTGATAATCAATATTTCCCTCACTTCCGAGATTTTCTAGTTTTAGAGGGTTTACAGATACAAAAAGTAGGGAAAAGGAAAGATAAATCAGGAATTCTACAAGAAGAGAATACTTACCCACAAAAAGGAGATTGCTGTAATTCTCCTGCATCACATCCATGTATAAAGCTCTCTGAGCACAGTCTAGACATTCCCATTCCTCCTGTGAGAGGTCTACAGCCACATCTCTGAATGATAACAGACCCTGTAATGGAAAATTACCTAATTATCATACACTGCTTCACAAAATGATTTCTTGGATAAAAGACACCTAATGAACCAGAGAGATGTTTATGATATAGATGAGGCATGGCAATTTTTAAAGACACAAGTTTATAGAAGTGCTATATTGCTACTCTTTCAAGAGACAATGTATAGGAAGACAGTACATTGTTTACATTCATTGCGTCTCTCTCCTCCGAATTTTCTGATGTTTTCTAAGAACTGAGTAACAGAAAAAAAAGAATTGTCACAATCACTATATTAAAAAAAAATTGGCTGGAGAGATGGCTCAGAAGTTAAGAGCACTGGCTGCTCTTCCAGAGGACCTGAGTTCAATTCCCAGCAGCCATATGGTGGTTCACAACCATCTATAATGAGATCTGGTGGCCTCTTCTGGTGTGCAAGTATGCATGCAGATAACTGTATACATAATAAACAAAATCTTTAAAAAAATATTGCCTCTAGTTTGCAGGCTGTAATGTCTTAATGTTCTTAAAACATTAAGTAGTTTGATTCATTCCCAGCACATTCATGGCACTACAACACAGAATTTACTTGCAGATCCTTGAGAACCAATGCTCTCTGAGGAACCTTATTTGTAAGAGACACACACATACACTTTCAGAGAAATATATGAAGATATATATATATATATATATATATATATACACATATATAATATTACAGTTTAAGTTTAATAAAAGATGCTTTCTAAAATATTCATAGTCTTTATTGTATTTTTCATCTCCGTGTAAACAGAATGACATAATATCCTTTTAATCAGCAAAATTTTAGGGAAAATAACATACACATTTGAGATCTAGATGTAAGAATTTACCTTTATGAAGTGTGTGTTGATATCAAACAGAATCCCAGTCTCACATCTCAGAAGGTAAAGTTAAAATGAGCAAAAGTATGCAGTGAAATTATATAACGTCAATGTTAAGGACTAGATTAATCCTTTCTGAACCTGGGTTTATCTGACTCTATTCTAAAATGCTCAGTTGAGATCCTGAGGTCTAGGTACAATGCTGCTCCCTTTCTTAAAGAGATAGAATATGGAATGCAGAATTCATGGATGATTTACATCATTTTTTTCCCTTGAGAATAAGGAGTGTAAAATCACTGTATACATCCAATGTTCCAATCAACACATAGAATCAAGTTTGTGAAGATATTTTTTGAGAAATATTTACAACCATGAATAGAAAAGGAAGAATTATACAACATCAATATTATTTGAATTTTTCTAAAAGTTGACACAAACACTGATGATAACAATTTCAAGAATTCCATACTGTGTTTCACTATACAATAATTAGAAATATACATGTAAATACATGGCATATGTGACAATTCATTCAGGTAAAGTAAAAACATATTGTTTCAAAATAAATGTATTCAATAGGAAGAAAAATATTCTTACTCTTCATTAATTTTTTTTTTTTAATTTGGTTTTTCGAGACAGCGTTTCTCTGTAGGTTTTGGAGACTATTCTGGAACTGTTTTGAAGACCAGGCTGGCCTCGAACTCATAGAGCTATGCCTGCCTCTGCCTCCCGCGTGCTGGGATCAATGGTGTGTGCCACCACTGCTTGGTGACTCTTCATTAATTTTGAATATATTATTGCTTATGTGACTGAATCACATGAAAATTTAATATCAACTTTATTCTTTTCTTCAGTATTTGAGCTAATTCATTTAACAGGATTTTTAGCATAGATAAGTACCATTTATGATTACTCCTTCATTATTCAAAAAGTAGAATACACAATTTATAAGCTATTACAAGTGTACACCAGAAATGTAAATCCAAAGCCTGAAGTCATGGCTCAGAGATAAAAAGCACTTGCTATTCCTGAAGAGAAATCTAATTTAATTCTCTCTAAACACATAGAAACTAATCACAGTGCCTGAATTTAGTGCCAAGGATTTGGTGCTGATCTCAGGGATCCAGGGGCATCTCATCCAGTATACATAAAAATATGCAGACAAATCCTCAAATACTTAAATAAAATATTACTGTAAAGAAAGAAATAGCAACATTGACACAACTCTTCAGAATTTCACCCTGTATAATATAAACCTTCAGAGAGAGGAAACACATAGGCTGGACAGCCTTCTTTCTTCAAAAGAGAGTAAAGTAAGAGGGGCATGCATTCATACTTCAAAACAGATATGTGCAACACCAAATCAGTAGTCTCTAGAAAATTCCTACTAATATATTCCACATAATGCCATACAAATGTGAAGACAGCAGTGCTTATGCCTCTTCAGGAAAAATGAAACAAAAGATAAAGAGAAAATACGAATTTTCTAAAGAGAATTACCCACTGAACTTTGAGCAGAATCTCTTCTGAGACAAGTACATTTTAGGGGTAAACACACCCCTCATCACTGTGTGACATAATCTGGCAAAAAGAGAAACCAGAACACTGCTACCTTCATCTCCCCACAGACACATCAACTTTCTGGCAAGAGGAAGCCACATATTACTTCCATCATCTGTGTTCTCTAGGGTGCTAAAATGTTTACTATTAGGGTTCAAGACAGTAAAGTCTTTTCTACTTTTCTATAAATTGCTCAGTGATGTCAGTGAAAAGGTCCATGTATTAGCATATTCATGTTCATAAGCCTGTTTCTGGAAAACTGACCATTCACCATTCCAGAAATGCAACTATGTGGCACATGAAACCTTCCTTCCTAGCTAACATAAAAGGACACAAGTTCATTCTATGTAGAAAAATGGCCAAAAATATATTTCTTGAGTGTCATTTACAATAGCTTGTATTTTAGAACTTCAAGTCTAAAGTCCATGGAAATTCATATCCTCATAGTTTAAAATCCAGTGAAAATATAATGGGTCAAGTCTCTGCTATAAGTTGAAATGTTTAAAGACATGATCCTGAAATATAAGGAAAGAAAAAACAAATAAATAAGGCAAAAATAAACACTTCCAAAAACTAACATTGCCAGTGATAGGAAATTAAAGTCTTGAATAGTTTCAACAACAACAACAAAAACAATTTTCAGAGAAAGGTGGATATATCACTGACCTGGGGGAGCATTTACCACAGAAGCAATCATTGTTCTTATTGTTCTCTGAGTTTCTTTTTCAGGAATGAAGACTGGAGGTCTTGTTGAAATTTCACATCATGTTGTCAATAATACAAATCTAAAAATAACACAACTCTCTTATAGTCAATTCTGCCAAACCACACAAAAAGAACCCCACCTCTCCCCCCCAAAAAACCAAAATGATATCAGAAATCTTGTCAACGTTCCTACAGAGGAGAGAATATTTACAGTGGTGGAAGAAAATGACTATGAACCTAATCAATACACCCAGAAACATGGACTCTTAAAATTCATGGACAAAGAAGGGTATATGAGGAAAATTATAAAATGACAAATACCATCCACTCAAGCTACACTGCAGTCATAATTAGAGGAAAAGTTTATTTATAACCCAGGAAATAAGGCATTTTACAAAATGAATAGATGAATAGGAGAGCTGGGGAGTACAGGATTATTTTCAACACACAAAATCAGCAAACTACCATTTCTAACTAGAAGTAATAAAATTAGTACCCCTAACTTTGCCCACAAAAATATTTAAAAAACAAATCATGAAAAGTCCCATGATATGAAAATGCCAATAAAAAAGAGATGTCATAAGACAAACTTCAAGAGATTTTATGATAAACTCTTATAGGAAACAGGAAGAATGAAACACAGCTGAACTCAGTAAAAGGAAGGTATGTTGCATTGAAGCCAGCAGTACAGTGCAGGAAAAAAAAAAAAACGAATAGCATTAGCAGGAAAACTAAAAGGAGAGTAAGGCAGCATGTGTTCTCCAATCAGAGAAAATCTAGAGGCTTAAGAGCAAGCCAGAAAAAAAAATTAATAAGAGCAAAGAATTAAGGAGGAACAGATAGCAAAGGCACCAAATTCCCTTTTAATGATGACGCGATCAGGCAAAAAACTTCCTAGATTCACCACAGGAAAATCTTAGATTTGCTAAGTTCTCCTCCTACTATTGAAAAGTACAAAACTAATACAAAATTACTACTTTGTCTATTTATTAATAATGACAATTTGAAATGTAATTTATAAATTTAAGCCATTCAGGTTGTTTCCAAAAGATCTAGGAATAACACTTGTGATGAATTCACTTCTATGAAGAAAATTTTAGGGCATTCAGGGAAAAAGTGAGAAGTAATGTTACTCATAATCATTACAAGTTCCTCTCTCTACCTGGAAATCTACCTATCCTCTCCTGCCAACTTATTGGCTGTTCAGCTTCTTGTAAACTAATCAATGCAACATATATTCACACAGTGTAAAAATAAACAGCAACACGAAGGTTTTTGCAGAGGGAAACCACATGAAGACCTTCAATTTCTAGCAAGCAAGCAGAAACTGTCCTGTTCTGACAAGATTATGTTTAAGGCAACTCAAAACCATCTTTGGGTATCTTTGTAATCAAGTTACAGAATTTTTAAAAAAGCAGTTAGTCATACCATAACATGTAGACAGTCATGTCTGCACATTTTAAGGGTGAGTGAGAGGTCAATGAGTAAGGTTACTGGGAATTTATTTTCTAGAGACTGAGTCACAGACAAATGATCATGAGTACCAAGACAGATACCTAAGTTGGAGTTTTTTTAGCCATCACACTAGAATACAATATCTGACCATTTGATCACATTTCCTTTCATTCTATCTGGTAGATACACCACATGTATTTACCATGTGTGTCATGTCATCTTGGAGAACATCCACATCTATCTGCCAAATATCATATTTTTTTTTCTCAAAGTGACAATGAATTTGTCATCAGAACTAGTTACACTCATTCTTGTCATCATCTAAGAAGGCTGTATTATATGGCTCATTTAGGTAAAATGTATCTTTATAATTTACTCCTTCTTTCAATGTGGACCTGTTGTTTTAAGGTGCACGCACTCTTTTGAGTGAGAATACTTATCCTTTGAAATCCAAGTGAAT